TGAATTTTAAAGGATGACGTTAGTTATCACTGTGAAAGGCTCGAGGTTAAAAATACATGCATACAATGTAAAGTCATAGAAGTGCGAGGTCTAGAGCCACTTAAGAACACTCTGATGCATCCGTCCGTCTGAATAGATCTCGACAAGAATCTTGATCTCCAGCCTCTGTTCACACTGCGTGAAAGTCTCGAGTGGTTTCGGTACGAGAAAAGCATAGGTACAATGATGGATGGGATATTTTTTTCGTGGATAGGATCGAGAAAAGTAGGATTACATTCTTCCAAGTATCTAATTGCCAGTCGTAATTACGCGCAACCGCGCTCGTCGTTCATCGTTAGATATGTAAGTACATCGACTCAGTTCCTTAATTTTACCGAAACGGAAGGTGTCCTTATCGGGTTGTTTAATGTAATTTCCGAATAAATGATCAACTTCGTGATTATGGATCGTAAAATTGCATTAAAAGCTACGGTATTACGGTTGCTATGAACAAAGCGACGCGCGAGTGTCGTACGACGAATCGTTGAAAAGCGTCAACCAAAAGATATTGCACGAACGTTTTACCCATCGAATATATCGCTATATTTGCCAAAGATATACTTCGCTGGACGGTTAGGTTTATATATGTCGAAGCTACAAATACACTGCGCAATCAGATCAGGGATACATACACTCGTAATTCGTGTAAATGAGCACGGTCAACATACACGCAGTATATATGAATAAATATGATCAAGATCGTGCGTCGAAGTTCATTTTATTCGAGATAAAAATATGATATTTGGCGAATAGGTGTACGCTTTATATGGTAAGCAAAAGAGAAATTGCAAATCGTGTTTAAGAAGGATGAAATAGACGTATAGTCTTACCTTTCACCTTCTAAAATGTTAATATTATATGTTAAGTCATTAGTGGATATAAATTGCGCGTACAATTTTTCACAAACGTGGATTTTGAATTCTACATTCGCAGAAGATACGGTTCATTACCATTTACGAAATAAAATAAAAAAGAAAGAACTTCAGAGCGCGTTTATTTTCTTTGAATTTCTGTAAAGTATTAATCGAGTAAATTTTTTAAATTCTTGGAATATTTTTCTACTTGAATGTTTTACTCGTATTACTACTAATAATTACTTTAACTAGTCTTTCTAAGAACTGCAATTTCATAGATGATAGAAATAAATAGGAATGTTATAAGGGCAATCATGCTTTAACGAATCTCATTCATACTCATAGAATTGATAGACTATGAGTCCAAAGTTTCAAGCTGAGAAAAAATTTAATTGAACGCTACATTAATAACGATAGGTATAACATTAATATAAACATTTTCTTGTTAGTGAATTCGTTGTCATACTTGAATTACACAAAGTACAGAGTGACACTAGCACGCAACTATCTCTGTTAACCAATCGATCGTCATCAACCGGTTCGAATTGCCGCTCTAAGATCTGATAGGGTTAAATTACTCATTAAATAAAGCAGCGCAAGTTTTTCTCCTGATAAAATAATGCGTGAGAATCGTTTCTCTCTCTCTCTCTCTCTAATAGCGAACATTTGTAAAAGCGTCATTGATTAAACGCGATATATATTCCGGCTTATATACTATCCGACAAATATATTCTATATTTTTATAACATTAAACATTTTTTTCGAAATATCTTCAAAATTTGTAGTTGAAAGATATTTAAAAGTAGCTGCTTTCATGCATCATACGTCATAAGTGTATATGTGTCAATGTAAGTTCAAAACAATTAGCAATGAGTACATAGTGATCTTTATTGTTACCAAGGTATCGCTTATCTGATCGATAATTTAAAACGCATTTATCATTTGTCAATATTTTTCGTAATATCGATCGCTGCTTCCATAACAGCGTATCGGAAATGTACTTTTCGTCATCGTTGATATTAATTCACTGGTTTTGCCCAATTATCTCTGAGAAGCGAGCACGCATATATCCTTGTTTCTCTGTAGTCGTTCTCGTAGCATTTTTGTAGTCTTGCGAAAATACATACTCGAACTTAGTTAATCGGTATGTAAATGATACGATAAATACGAGTACAGTGGTGTGCAAATGCAAATATGTTTTTTTAGTCACTGTAGAAAAAGATCTTTACACGAAGATTAGTGTCATTCCAACAACGAACGAAGATCGTGCATGGTCGAAAACTATATGCGTATCTAGTTGCAAAATCAAATAAAAAAGTAATTTTCCTAACATCGAACACCGGAATTCCTGTAGAAAATAAAAAGATGCGACTTATTGTATTCCGTCTGTCTTCATTTAGACTTTTATACAAATGTATACAAATACTTTTTCTTCAGAGTCGATAATCGAGATACGTAAATAGCAAATAGCGTTTAGAATATCACAGGGGCTCGTAATACTTGCATAGATGATCAATTCGTAACGCAGGAAAAATGCGATTTCCCCGTTTGGCTATAACGCGGGAACTTTAATGAATTTTAATCAGCTTTTTCTCTATGAGAAAAATAACATCCGATCGGGCGAAAAACTACTTTGCCCTACAATCGGTGCATTCACTACGATGAAAGGACTATTCACTTGATTCCTCGCAAAGCAAAACATTTCGCAGTGAAGTTTTATTAACACGACGCGACGCGATGCGCATGAACGGAATAAGAATATGCTTATTTAGTGTCGTGTTTCAAACCCCTAACTTCCAGTGCAGTGCACGCGCGAAAAACGAGCAATCTCCTCTTTATAGTGACCTTGATGAATTGGCGAGCATCGTCGAAACTAATATCGAGCGTCTTGAAAATCCTGTTTGCTGGGCTTGCAAATCATCAGCGATACTGCTTCTGGCAGGCAATTTCGTATAAATGTACCGACCATGTACTTCATTTACAGAGTAATCCGAACATTTTCATGTCACATAGAATACTTACTTTAAATGCACGACATTAAACGCTAATTTACTAATATATTAAGTCCGGATTAATTTTCTCAAATAAATACCATTATAAGTCCATTGTACATTGTGATTTCAATTTTGAAAACTGACATTGTCGATGTTACACTTATGCACGTTTCTCGATAGTGTCGTCTTTATATTAATGGCCTCGAATATCTATCGCGTGTACTATTCTACAAGACGATGCATGTTCATTATACATGTTCGCAATTAATTTTTTGCATCGAAATACCTTTTTTGGTACTTTACAATGTACAGTAATTTACAATGTACAATAGACACATAGTTTAGGCACATAGCTCGATAATATACTAACGTTTGTTGCAATTTTTATCGATAATAGTTTAGGACTTGTGATTGTGTACGTCTGTTGTTGAATTAGAGGAAAATGCGTGGCGTAACGAGAAAGTAAAATGAATTCAGAAGTCAAGGTGAATTTTGCGCCGGATTTTCGTCACAGATCTCCACCGATCCAAAGGTCTAGTATACGCCACTGACAAAACATCTCTTTACACTCTGTACATTGTACACATATGTATATATATATATACCTGATAGATTATTCATTTTGAAAGTAATAAGTTAATTCAAGGCAAACCAACTTAGTAAATTAATCGCAAAAAATTGCAAATATGCAATAGTAGCAATTACGATTATCGTTATTAACGTTAAAGTTAATGATTTAATACCATATTACAACAAATATATATGCTTTCAATTATTCCCTTAAAAGTCTGTAAGTATCGGTTTTACGTGTAGTGATTAATTGCTAGGCCTATTAATAATCCTTTCTGTATGTCGCGTCGGTAATTTTTTGTCGTACTTGAAATCTGAAACGGAGGTCTCGATACGACCTTGCTAAGATGCCAGTCGAAAGTCGAAAGCATTTCGTTCCCTTTAACACGCGGATCAAGTGTGTACTGTACGTACTTACTTGGCTGGCCACCTTTTTCACAGTAATGCCATGGAATAACACCCATGTCATCACTCTCCTCGACGCATTTTTTACTATTTTTTCACGGCCATGATTATACACTGACAGCCGGTGCCCGAATATCGTTACGACTTTAGGTAGGTAGACCCGCTCGCTTGATCTACCGATTCTTATTCCAAACGAGTTCTCTAATACGCTCGCCGCGTTTCTAATTTGCGTAAAATCGTCGTTGTAATTTATGACTCACGTTCAGCGATGAATCTACAGAAAGCTTTCGAGTTTAATTCGACTATAAAACGAAGAACGTAAGAAAAAAAAGGCAAAGAAAAAATTAAGCTTCGACAGACTAGAATAGCATCAACGACGCTTTTTGAACTTCATAAAGTTGTCGGATAAATATAAAAGAAGAGATAGCGGCGAGAAAGTGTCGAGCAAATTCTTGAAATTCCGTTCCATAATTGCGATACGCGTTTGATAGAATTTGATAACGTAAACTGTCCAGAAATGAAAATACGCGTGAAATATAGCGTTAACGAGCCTGTTATATTTTCCTCAAATGTTAGAAACTTCTGTGGTTTGAAAATCACGCAAAGAAAATAACAGGATTAAGGCTAATTCACAAACAAATTTACAATAAGATATTAGGTCGATCTAGGCTTACCCAATAAATGTTTCTCGTAGGTTTGCTAACCTCTGTCTCAGCTATCTGTTTGCTAATTATCAGCAATTCACGCTATGATATCGTCGAACTGCGCACGCAGTGGAGCGAGGCGAAAGTCAATGTTTCGCGCAGTGGTACGGTTAGAAATGATTTTTTTCTAGCATATATGTATAATCTCGATTAGATTTTGTAACGTAACAGCGATGTAAATCAAATCGTTATACTTCTGTAATACGTATAAGATACACGTTATGATACGCGTATCGTAATTGTTTTTATTATACGAGATTTTTCCGACATGTTGGGAAAACGTCGATAAACTTTTTCCCCAAACCACTAACGACTAGGCACCGCTTGACTTAATAGATGGTATATTTTGCGTTTTTCATCGGGACTATTGGAACATGATTGTGAGCAATGTTTGCCGACTAATGAACCACATTATTTCATTCTTCTGTTTGCAGACATCGGCAGGGAATGTTAACACGGTGTAAGAAGAAGAGGAAGAAGAAGCAGGCATCCAGGAAAATTTATTTCAATGCGGAACACACGAACCAGTACTGCTTGTGAGTACAACTCGATAAATAGGAAAAAATTCTCGATTAATACTTAAGTTGACGCGTTGCAATTCTCGGCGTAAGAATTTAAAAAATGTTAACTAGATCATCGACGTCGTTGAATTTTAGTTTTGCGGGTAAATTTTAATTCGCGAAAGTATTTCAACGTTTACGGAAGGTCAGTTTAAAATAAACGAGTAAAATCGGTAACCACAGAGCGGGACATTAGCGACGAATAATCGCGTGCGTATTTATACGAACTCGTTACGAAGTTATATATGGCATTTGAAACGAGGATAACGTCTACGACCGTTTGAAGAAATCATGACTGCTATTGCTTCTTCGTATTTGTCCAAATGAAGTGAATTAATACTTGGCGAAGCCTGGAAATTATTATGTCAGATAACAAGGGATCGCGGTTTGGACGCAATCGTTTACGAAGCATTCGTAAAGTTGCTGCCTTTTTCTCTGGGTGTTTAATCAATGAGAATGCCTGACGCTGCGCTGGTGTATATTGCGGGAAACGATCAATGAAACAACTTGGCCTGCTTTGATATGTCCGATTAAGTGAAACTGCAGCGCTTCTTACGTAAAGTCGTCTTATTGTTCGTGGAAATAGAAGAGATAAATAACGTTTCGCTTGCGTAATTGACAATACGTGACAACATAATCTTCAATTCCAATATTTGCAATAGTATATCAAATATTTCATTGACGAATCAAATGTGTCAGAAGGCAAAGGCTTTGTTTCGATATTCTCGACTTTAAATTATATTTTGTTCGACTATGTTCGATGCTAATGGATTCGTAACTCATATACGACTAAACTGTTCTGATTTTTACAAAAAATAAAAGTTACAGAATGATTACGGGAGGAATGGACCACGTGTTTGGAAACGATTTGAACGATATTTTTAAAGTATCGAACACTATATCTATGTTATATTTGTAGAAGAACAGGCGCGTAACATTAGCATATTTTGTAATAGATAAATTAAAGAAAGGAGCAATAAAGATTTAGAAACCACAAGGGGGAATATCGGGTTCTTATGTTCTTACGAGCGACAGAATTATTCTTTTGTTTTCCATGGGTTAGGTAGGATCGTAGAAGTGAATTTTCGATTTAGGACATCGCAAATGTGGTTATGATAATGAGAAGCTGTGAGTTTCGCAAGCTATTCGCGGAACTCTACGTGCCGTCCTTTAACGGCACGACGACGCGACAATGGATTTGGAAATAGACTTAATACACGATGTTAATCCCTGTTCGTAGCAATAGATACGATATTCTGACAGATTGGTGTTGGCAACTGTCCCTTCCACGATATTTTACGATTTGTATTCGTTAGTATTAATCGAAGTAGCCAAGAGTTATTTATTACTCGATCGTATCTATCCTGTATGGTTATTATCGTCGTTGAATAATCAAATAGTTTTTTGCCAACTATAGATTATTTTACCTATATTATAAACTTGCTTCTTTGTTTTTATCATAATTACACATTATCTAATTCGTTCCTTGAGAAGAAAGATGAATAGGTAATTCTCCGATAGTTTGTTACATCATTATGCGCGAGGCGTGAGGTGCCGCTCCCACTGCCCTTCGTATTTCATCAAAATGAAAAATGTTATTTTCAATTTCTTCGAATCGATCGTTCTTCGCCTTCTTCTATCGTAGAATCTTTTCTTCGAATCGATCGAAGGATCGTTCTTCCTTCGCGTCGCTTCGCAAACACCAGATCCGATCGTCCGGTAAAGTTTTGTCGTGGAAAAGAAATTTCCGCGTTCCAGGGAACGAGGAATCCGCGGTGCTTGGTGTTGTTCACGCCAACTCGAATAATCTTGTTACAGTAGCTGGACTGGTAACCAATGTCAACCCTTTTTTCTCCGGACGCACGTGCATTGACATGTACCATCTGGTCGCTGGATGTCGCCGTATAGCAATTGAACGTAATGATATTCTGGTACCATCCAAGTTACGTCGCCCTTTCTCCCTCTCAGAGTCTTTGGTCTCGCTCCACTCCTCCCTATTACGCTGTCCTTTTCTCCCCTATCATCTTTCTCTCCCCACTTTAGTGGCTGTTAGCCGGCGTTGGCCATTGACCGACCTTCGCAGTTGAACTGTGCCGCGAGAAGATAGGAGTTGCGCCTTTCTCTCGATTCTCTCTTTCTATCTTTCGTCTCCTCTTGTCTCTCTCTCTCACACACACACACACTCTCTCTCTCTCTCTCTCTTTCTCTCTCTTTTTCATCTGTTGCGTTATGTTACGTTATGTTATGTTATGTTATGTTACATATAAGGTTAAACGTGCTATTTGTAGAAAAAAGGTTTCTTCCTGGCAGCTCTCTTCGAGATCTAGGATCGATGCTTTGAAAAAATAGTCCTTCGTCCTGCGACCCTCTTGTTATCCGACTACCCGTTCACGCTGCGCGGCGGCGTGGCGATCATTTCGACGATTACGTTTTAAGATCGTTAGAAAACCGACAGCGCGTACAGGCCATTTAATAGGATTTCTCTGGCCCGTTTCGTTGCGGCGACTTTGGCTGGAAGTGTTTAATAACACGTTTTCCGGTTGGATTTGACGGGATATCTTCTGTCGGATTTGGTTGCCGATGCTCTGCCCACCGAGCGTTCTGCTGGAATTTGATAGATTTCACGGTTAGATATTCCACGGTTTTGATTGGCATATAGAGATTGATGTGAGATTATACGGACGATTTTTTCTTTCGTTTTGTCCGTTTGGAATAATCAGAGGATTATCTGTCTGAAACGACTTCATCGATTAGGTGGCTGTTTGGCAAACTGAAAACTCTATCGTTTATCGGCCGGACAATTTGATCAACCTATAATTATACGAAATAGAGAGAATTGATATAGACATGAATATACGTATACAGTTGAAATCCAATCTCAATTATACTTTTTTAAACTAGAATAAAGATACATATAAAAGATACGTGAATCATAGAAGACGTAGTTTATTTTATCCGATTTCTATTACAAAATTCTCTCGTGATATATTATCGACATTCATAAGGACGTTTAGTTACGCAAACTAGATCGATGGAGGAACTTTGAACGAATCGAGTTTTTGTCTATCGAGTACCATTCCATTATTGCAATTTCTTCCATTCCTGTGTCTTAATACAAATCGAGCGTTTTCGATCGCTACTAACAATAAATATACTCGTAAGCAATCGTACACTATTTAATAGATAATAATCCGACGATAACAAGTCCCGATAATGTACCATATAATTGGAAATATTTACAGAAATCTTGAGTTACCCGATTAGTCCAACTCGCAGCCGCAATAACGTACATCAATCATAGTAATCATATTCATAATCCTCGACATCACGAACGTCCGGATTCTATGGACTTATCAAATGATATCGCGAGTTCGTCGATGAACCTTCCAAGGGAACATAATCGTTCTATCCCGTCCAGACGTTCTTTCTTTTTTCATCGCATCGGGTACACGTCAAACGAGAATTATAACCAGTATATATTAACACGCGGACAAAAAGCGACTTTGTAGAAGCTAATTAGTGGTTCTCTTTTATAACGAGTGACAAGTTCCTGGTCGGCACGGCGCGGCGTAACGCGACGCGGCAAAGGTGCCATAACACCCGTTATGGCTATGGAAGTCCGCGGTAAAGGCG